ATACTTAAAAATTATAGGAAAACTAAATGCATGACTAATGGTCCATGTATTAAAGTCTTTTTGCCCTTAATGCGGGATTTTCTAAAAATAAAATCTTTTCAGAACATTACATTAATATTTGAATGTTTCAGATTTGTCACAACGGTTCATATCATGAACAATGGGATTGGAAAATTAAGATCGAATTTCGACCAGGAAAATTTTTGTTCACTTTGCCTTGAAAAAGGTCCAAAAGCACTTCCACACGCATTTAATCGTAAACGGAAGGGTAGTTAGGGGGTCATAAAACCTTTAAGGCAATAATAATTGACATCGTTACTTTCTCTTGATAAGATGTAACACAGTACAATCTCTGTATTTCTGAGATGAGGTGTTAAGATTATTTACATTATTTACATTATTCGGACTGTTATCCTCATCTTCATTGCAATATTCACAGCGTTTCGGCCGTTGTACGCTCTGGCCTTCTTCAGGTGATTAGCATTTCAAACTCAATCCTTTATATCTATCTATATCTCTGAGGTGAGGTATTACGATTACTTGCAGTGTTTATTATTGGGACTGTTAGCCTCATCTTTGCCATATTTATAACGTTTCTGCCGTTGTACGATCCGGCCTTCTTCAGGTAATTTGCATTTCAAACTGAACCCTTTATATCTCTGAGATGAGGTATTATGATTACTTGTATTGTTTACATTATTCGGACTTTTATTCTCATCTTCATTGTCATATTCATAATGTTTCGGTCGTTGTACGCTCCGGACTTCTTCAGGTAATTTACATTTCAAACTCAACCCTTTATATCTATCTACATGTCTGAGATGAGGTATTGCCATTACTTGCATTATTTACATTATTCGAACTGTTATCCTCATCTTCATAGCCATATTCACAAGGTTTCGGCCATTATACGCTACAGCCTTCTTCAAGGACACATGGCGCTGGTTAGATCCAGAGAATAGGCCAAAAGTGTTGTGAGTTCAATACCAGGCTACAGCAGTGGTGAACCAAAACTTGTAGAGCTGAGTTAAAGGGAAATAACTGAGACATCCAGAAGAGGCATGGCACGTGGAACTAGAACAATCTACCCCGCTGAAGGAAATAAAGGTTCGAAATTCCAATCAGCTGAAGAAGATCGGAGCGTACAACGTCCGAAGATGAGGATAACAGCCCGAATAATATAAATAATGTAAGTAATAGTACAATCTATCACATAGAGAGAACATGGCTACCCATAAATATTAGCTCTTGCTCTGAGACATGATTTCTCAACCTGGGCGATATCAGCCACCGGTGGGCGATTTCAACTGTTGGGTCAGCAATGAGCAACTGAATAGAAAATGTTGGTCGATTGGTAATTTTGGTGGGCGATATAGGATTTTGAGTATTAAAAATGTATTTTAAATAAATTATATATAAAGTTTTCAATGGTCAAGTTTGCTTTCGTTTGTTCATTAATACAGTAGTATCAGCAGTATCACCCGCATATATATATATATATATATATATATATATATATATAGATAATATTAGCGGAAAATATACATACATATGAAAAATATACATATATATATACACAAAGGTAATATCACTCTTCCTAACAAAACTGATAAATACATTAACCTTTCCAACTATGAACTAAGCACCAAAAAGAATTACTTAACCTTGGACCTAACTGCCATATATACCGTAAGTACAATCGACTTTTAAAAAAAATAGAAATTGAGACCCTATACCAAAACATCGTTAAACTCCAGGATGAACAACTAATAGAAACTACACCAGAATTTAAAGACTTACTTAAGGCCGAGGCATTGAAAGATCGGCATGATAAAAGCAGAAACTCCACAAAAATATTTTCTAAACAATTGAAAATTGCCGCACAAGAACTACGCAAACCACCCTGATATTATTGTAAAAAAAGCTGATAAGACCAACATTTTTGTCACCCTAAACAAATTGGATTGCAACAAAAAACTTGACCACATACTCCATGATCACATAAAGTTTAAAAAACTTAACAAGAACCCGACCAACCAACTAAAATCAAAGCTTAATAAACTTATTAATGCTAATAATGCTGAACAGAACTCTTTAAAACTCCCTAAAATTGTTGGTGATTATAGACCTGGTTACATATACGGCACTATATAAACACATAAACCTAACTATCCTCTCCGTCCTATCATCTAACAAAATACATTAACCAACTTATTACTCCCTACCTTCCTAGTAAATATAATGTTAAGTCAACATTAGAAGTAATCCAAATCCTAAAAAGTGAAAAACCGAACAATAGCTTCACTTGATGTTGAAAACTTATTTCCGAATGTCCCTGTCAGTGAAACTATTGACATAATTATAAGAAATATATACAGTAACTCATCTTTACCCCCACTTAAATGTAATCCTAATATATTAAGAAAGCTACTATTAGCTTGTACTACTGAAGTCCCTTTCTTAGATCATAATAACAATATATATATACAACGTGATGGTGTCTCCATGGGTTCAGTACTGGGTCCAACATTTAGCAATTTCTACATGTCGAACCTCGAAAATAAGTTATTTACAGATTTTAAAAAAACATCAATCTACCTAAGATACGTTGATGATATTCTTATGTTACTTAAAAATACAGATGAAATAATATATTACAAACAGGAATATATACAGAGAAGTAGAAAGTGTTAGTTCGAACAATCAGGTTTAGTAGGGAGAACAATGTAGTCTCGACCAGTATCACTATTCCAATGTCTTGTAGTAATTGTCTGAACGCGACTCTGTTTCGGACTGCCTCTGACTCGACTGACTGACTCGCTCACTCTGACTGATTGACGGACTTCTGACGGACCTCACTCCAGACTACAGACTGATCAGTTTTTAGTCACCCCCACACGAGGGCATCATGTGGCACAAGGCCGGTTTAACGTGGAATCGGCCAAAAATATGTCCTTTGAACCCGTATAAACGGGTTCGGCGTAGCCTCGTTCGGGTTCCTCCCCGCCTGAATGCAGAGAGTTCAACCGATCAGCCGGTCAGCCGGTTGCCCGACTTCGGACTGAACGGTATTTAGTCACCCCCCCACGAGGGCACCATGTGGCACAAGGCCAGTTTAACGTGGGATCTCCGAGCCCGTGGCCTCGGCCAAAAATAAGCCCTTTGGACCCGTATAAACGGGTTCAGGTTCGGTTTACCTCCCCGAAAGAGACTCCGCCCTTTGGCGTATCCTCGTTCGGGTTCCTCCCCGCCCGAAGACAGAGAGTTCAACCGATCAGCCGATCAGCTGGTCGCCCGACTTCGGACTGAACTCTCTACTTCCTCTTGAGGCGCAGTATTTATTACGTATGGAATAGACCATTATGTTATTATGGGTAAGGTCCAATAATATATATATATATATATATATATATATATATATATATATATATATATATAATTTAAAAAAAAACCTGACCACTTTATGATTCCATTGTTATAATTTATTTCACCAGAGATTTTTCTTTTTCTCTCTGGATCATTAGATCTCACTTCCAAGGATGAAAAAATGAATTTAAACTTACACTTTTGAAGGTTAATATTAAGCTTATATAAGGTGATATAGGGAGTGGTGAGAGATAGTGTGACAGACATGGTTGAAATTACAGAGGGAAAGGAGAGATAGGAATGCTTTTAAATTTATTTTTATTTTTATTACAATCCTTAATATTGAGAAGGGGGGTAAGTATCAGACATTGACCTATTTAATAGGTCAACTCACCGAAAACGATAAAAAAAGAGAAAAAGAGAATGAATGTTGCTGCCACATATGGTCTGGGTGTTCCTCTTGTATATGTAGAAATTCTTGAAAAACTCCAAAGAAGAAATGACTTCTTCGCTTTGCTTCATGTACTTTATGAATTTAATCGTAGTTCAAGATTGGTAGGAAGGTCTTATCAATTCACAGTTGAATTGGCTAGATGCAACCGTATGTTCTGTGCTGACAATTTTTTTTCTAACACTTCTTGCATGTGGAACTCTATTCCGAGTCTATGCTTTCTAGCCAACTTTGATCTGCAAAAATTTAGATGTAATGTAAATCGTTATCTACTATTTTCTTGATGACTTTTTTTTATTGTTCTCTCTTCTTAATGTCTCTTTTTTTCTTATTCTTTCAAACTTAGTAATCTCCTTGTGCCTTAGTGGATTTAGTGCCTTGCATGGGGTGATATGATTAAAAAATGCGTTTGTTTGTCGTTGTTAGACGTTTAGAGTCAGTGTTCAGACGAACTAGTATAGACGTTACAGTAGGTAGGCGAAGCATTAATTATACAGGATTCTTGCACGAAGTCAGTTATACAGGGTGTCCGAAAAATTTGACATCATTTTAAAAGCAATTATTTTGAAAACTACTTAGTCTAGCTTAATGAAATTGAACAGTTTAGGTGTTGAACATCATCAGTTTATTCTGGGACCGATTTTATAAGTGTTCAATATGTGCACCGCCTGTGACATGGCACACGTCAAGTCGGTAGTTAAGCTCTTGCCAAACACGCTGTAGCATGTCTCCGTAACATTATCCAGTGCGGAAGTGATTCTCTGCTTGAGTTCATCAATGCCAGCAGGAAGAAGTGGGGAGCAAAGACCAGTCCCTTCACATATCTCCATTAAATGAAATCACACGGGGACAAGTCCGGTGACCGCGGCGGCCATTTCAGAAAACTGTCTTCATCTCTACCACACCCGATTCATCTCTCTGGCAGATTCTCATTGAGATAACAAAAATAAAACATTAAATATAAAATCTTGATCTGTTTCTATACATCCTGTGAAAATTTGAGGTTATTTCAACAAGAATTGCCAAAATTATTGGCCTGTGAAATGATGTCCATTTTTTTGGACATCCCGTATAATACTGTGTTATAATAGCTTCCGGGATAGATATAAGTTTATCAATGGCTTCTTATTGCTTTCGATTTTCCCAAACCTTTATATAGAAGGTTTTTTGGAGATTAATAGAGATGTGTCTATTGTTTTCCTTTCCTTTGTTTTCTATGTTTAAAGTTTGACAGTTAATGTCATAGATTATTGCTTTTTATCAATAAGTATATTGCGTAGTGGATTAAAAGATTATTTCATGACGTATCAATCGTGTATTCAATCTCTTTATTTAATCGACGGGTGTTGAATTTTCTAATCTAGAATTCCTTTGGATATCTTTTTTTTTTTTTTTTTTTTTTTTTGTTCACTTCAGCCAGGTACTGAACTCACAAATCTTTGGGTCAAGTCACTTTTAGGATTACTCAACCAACACTTTTATCCACTGGGGCCGTGGATTAAAGACACGGTTCTGTTCGGAATTGCAACTTATATCACCTGAAGAAGGCCGAAGCGTACAACGGCCGAAACGTCGGGAATGTAACAATAAAGATGAGGACAACCATCCGAATAATATAAATAATGCAAATATTTACATAATTCATCTCAGAAATATGGACAGACATTCTTAGAATTGTTCTACAGTTTATTAATTGGGCAAAAAACTGACCAATTTTGGAGTACCTTTTGTCTCGTAATTGATTTTAGGGAATAAAGATTTTATATATATGTATTTGATGTACATTATGTATATGTATTTGATGTATATTTCATGTATATATGATTAATTTGTTTTCTATGGCTTATCCACCCTTTTCAGGTTATTTAAAGCCAAAATATTTTTAGATTGTAAGAATTTGTTTTAGAAATGGTAGTTTAGTAATACAAGGCTTACTAATTGACGCATAATTGGGGGAGAATATGTGCAATTGTATTTTTCCCGAGTGTATTTGCATGTAAGTAAATATAACGACCCCAATGGGAATTAGAACACGGCTCTTCGATTAAAAATTCCTTTCAATTATCTATTACATCACCCGCACATCCAAGCGTACCGCACCTCATATTTTCAAGCGGTCACCCATCTATACAATGACTACATTCGACGTTGTTTAGCTTTGGTGATCGTATTGGAACTGATGTTTGAACGTTATCTGGCTGTAAGAGTTACATGTGTGTGTGTGTGTGTTTTTTTTTGTGTGTGGAATGTGTGTGTTTTTTGTGTGTGGTATGTGTGTATGCATTTTTTGGTGTGTGGTATGTGTGTGTGCGTTTTTTGTGTGGTATGTGTGTGTGTGTGTGTTTATTTGTGTGTGGTATGTGTGTGTTTTTTGTGTTTGATTTGTGTGTGCGCGTTTTTGTGTGTGGTGTCTGTGTGTGTGTCTTGTGTATGGTATGTGTGTGTGTGTTTTTTGTGTATGGTATGTGTGTGTGTTTTTTGTATCTGGTTTATGTGTGTGTGTGCCTTTTGTGTATGGTATGTGTGTGTGTCTTTTGTGTGTAGTATGCGTGTTTTTTGTGATATATGTGTCTGTTTTTTCTGTGTGGTATGTGTGTGTCGAAGAGGTACGTGTATATTCACAGACAAGTGTTTAATAAAGATACGACATATTAAGGAAATTCTATTTCAGTTCATTCTTTTTTAACGTAATCTTTCTATGTTGCAAAGAACAGAAAATCCAAGCAGATAACTGGAAATCATACAAGTTTGCGCATGCGTAATTTGTCAAGAGTCATCGTCCGACCCACAAGCGTCGGTCATTTTGAAAGCAATCAAAATCACTGAACTCGTTATCGCAGTAGACTGTGACGAAACTGTCCAGCCCTATCGCGACGGGAAGTCTTATAATTTCTTTGATTTTTTGATGAGAAATATTTATCTTTTTTTTTTCATACTTTCGTTTATTGGCTCGTGACTTTTCTTATTGGTTATAAAAACGGTGTCTCACAACGGCCTTTCGCAACTTGAAACTATTAAATGCAACAGGAAAAAAAGGAAAGGAATTAGAAATAAATAATAATAAAAACCAAAGAAAAGATTTAATTGTTCTTGTTCTTGAGTTCTGCTTAGTTAATACCTTCTTTTCTTATCTTTCTAAAATGGTGAATTTTATTTGTAGACTTCTCTTTGTCACGGAAAGCTGATGGTTATTTTTTAGTCTGGGGAAATGGGGTTATGGTATAAGTCACGGCCCATCTAATGCAACAATGAACCGTACTAACTCATAAAAAGGACCTCAGTTCAAAGTTTAGTCTTGTATTGCGTGATTATATAAGATGTAGAATATATTCAATGAATATCTGAAAACGTTCATTCACTCACGTGATTCTTAGCGACACAGAAAAGTCAGGGATAAACTAAAACTATAATTCCGATTTTTGAAAAAAACACGAACTTCATCAGATCTCAGTAGAATAGGCAAGTTTCTAATATGGTAGTAGAGACAGAATTTGATGATTTTAATAATTTTCTACCTCTAATTTAATTTAATCAAATCTCAGAACGTTGTCTGTGTCTGAGAGAATGAATGTAAAAATGGAAAAAAAAAACATGTCAAGATTTTCGTTTTCGGAAGAACTTCTTCAGACTGACTAATGTTTTTATTGATGGTATTACACACACACACACACACACACACACACACACACACACACATACATATATATATATATGAGATACTGATATATATTTTTATATATCAAGAACAATATTTACATTATTCGGACTATTGTTCTCCTCTTTGTAGTCATATTTATTACAACGTTTCGGCCGTTGTACGCTCCGGCTATCTTCAGGTGGTTGGAATGTCGAACTGAACCCTAAATTTTGCTCACTGGGGTAGACTGTTCTAGTTCCACGTGCCATGTTTAATGGATGTCAGTTATCAGTTATCTCCTGTTAATTTCCCTCTGAAAGTTCTCCACTGCCTTAAACGGGTATTGAACACACACTCTTTGGGTCCTGTCACTGGATCTAACTAACGTCTTTATCCACTGTGCCATGTGTTCTCAAGGATACATGGCACGTGGAACTAGAACAGTCTACCCCAGTGAGCAAAATAAAGGGTTCAGTTCGACATTCCAACCACCTGAAGAAGGCCGGAGCATACAACGGCCGAAACATTGTAATAAATACGGCGAAAAAGATGAGGACAATAGTCCGAATAATGTACATAATACCTCATCTCAGAAATATAGACAGATACTGAAAGGCCGAAACGTTGTAATAAATATGGCAACAAATATGAGGACAATAGTCCGAATAATGTAAATAGTGTACATAATACCTCATCTCAGAAATATAGACATAATCAAGAAAAATATTGGGGAAATTGTATGACAAAGTGGAAAAAGTTTACTTGTGACGTGTTTCGTCCCTGGACTAAATTTGTTATGTTGGTACGGAAATTCTGACAAGGGAGGCGGGATTGTGATCATGAACAAGAATACATACATAGAAAAAGAATAACTCACTTCTCAAAGACACTAATACACACCAAAAAATAAATGAACAAAAAATAACTGATATTGATTTACCTGACCTAGTAGATCAACTAAACAAAGTCGAACACACAATAGAATTTACATACAATATGGAAGAACACAATTCCTTATCCTTCCTACATATCAAGGTACACCGCGTTAACAACAATTTAAAACTCAGTGTCGACCTGAAATCAACCAACAAAAACGACCTAATAAATTTCTATTTTCATCATAACAACAAAATAAAATCCGTAATGATCAGATTCTACCTAAGAACTTTAAATAAATAAGTAAATACTCAGGGCTGCATATTCATGCAGCCCTGAGTATTTACACGGAGAAGAGAAATATATTGAAAATAGTTTCAAACTTTTCTAGTACTCTAATTATTTTATATTCAATGTGAAACAAAAGCCCCATAAAATATTTCAAAACAACAAAAAATAAACGAACCACGCTGAAAAACCCAATGAATCAAAAATATATATTATCCTATCAACTAACGCTAACACATCTACATTCGAAAAGAATCTATCGAAACTCAACTTATAATATATTACTAATATATTAAAACCAATAAAAGAATTAGTCAATATTAAACAAAACAATAAGCTACTACTTTTACCCCAGCAGTTTCTTCTCTCACACTTCCCGACAGTGGAGCTTTCTTGATAACAATAATCTTCAAAAAATTAAATGTAATGTCAATCGACATCTTCTGTTGCTTTGATTTTCGTACTTCATTTTAGCCCCTTCCGGTCTAATTTTATTCTTTTCTCCCTCCCCACTACCATACCCAGTTTTTCTTTTACACTCTCTGTAGCCCCTTCCGGTCTAATTTTTATTCTTTTCTCCCTCCCCACTACCATACCCAGTTTTTCTTTTACACTCTCTGTAGCCCCTTCCGGTCTAATTTTTATTCTTTTCTCCTCCCCACTACCATACCCAGTTTTTCTTTTACACTCTCTGTAGCCCCTTCCGGTCTAATTTTTATTCTTTTCTCCTCCCCACTACCATACCCAGTTTTTCTTTTTACACTCTCTGTAGCCCCTTCCGTTCTAATTTTTATTCTTTTCTCCCTCCCCACTACCATACCCAGTTTTTCTTTTACACTCTCTGTAGCCCCTTCCGGTCTAATTTTTATTCTTTTCTCCCTCCCCACTACCATACCCAGTTTTTCTTTTACACTCTCTGTAGCCCCTTCCGGTCTAATTTTTATTCTTTTCTCCCTCCCCACTACCATACCCAGTTTTTCTTTTACACTCTCTGTAGCCCCTTCCGGTCTAATTTTTATTCTTTTCTCCCTCCCCACTACCATACCCAGTTTTTCTTTTACACTCTCTGTAGCCCCTTACGTACTAGAGCCACTTCCGCCTTGCTTGGGGGTGAATTGCTTTAAAAAAATGCTAATTATCTCGCCTCGAATGCAATTACGACCCTAGTGATTTCTGTTCTCAGCAAGTGTTCTCCGGCATTTTGTGGTCTTGTGCTCACTAGAATTAAGTTTATATCCATACAGAATTTCGTTCTCTTCGTAACTTCTTCAGCCTAGTACAACAAGAAAAGAAAATGCCTTTTCAGTGATGTGGCTTTTCCCGATGATCATAGTATGTTCAAAAAATTGAAAAAGTTAAAAATACACTAACCCCCAGATTGAGGTTATCATATTGTGGGACGTTCAGGCCACTATTGTGCCAGTTATAATCGAATCATTGCGGTCTATCCCACCGAACTTAAAGACCTACATGAAGTATGCTGGTTTTCTTCATGTACGTCTTTGTATTTTCTCTGATAACCCCTTTACATAAGGGGTTACATCTCTGACTACTGAGAGTGACTCCTCCGTGTGTACCTTGATGAACAAACTCACCACGTCCAAGTTCACCCTCTGGTTGGATAGGATTGGAGCATTGATTATTTCCACAAAGTGGGCGGAGTTTCGGACACATGAAGGAGACTTTCCGATCAATGGGTCAATTATATCTACAAGGAAGCGACTCAGAGTGTGGCACACACAACCTTGGCAACTAACAATCGGCCTGAGCGGAATACCGTCTTTGTGAATCTTAGGGAGACCCTATATGTGAGGTAGTTTGGTGTAACGCTGCGATAACTGTCTATACGTCTTAGGTGCGAAACTGGGATAGGCAGGCACAAGAGGCGGACAATAATACTCAGAAAACAATCTGCCTGCCTTATGTGAAGGGGTTATCAGAGAAGATAGAATATAAAGTATAACGCCTAGTATCCCGTCGTCGCTTCAGAAGTCCGCGTTGCTTGTCTCTGTAATTATTCTGCGAAATTTGCTATCTATTTGTGACCGCAGCCATAATGCAAGATATCTGGTTGAAAATAAAAAAAAGTGTGAAATAATAATAATAATAATATAAATAATAAAAACGTGTGAAATAATAATAATGATAATAATGATAATAATGATAATAATAATAAAAACATGTGAAATAATAATAATAATAATAATAATAAAACATGTGAAATAATAATAAAAAATAATAAAAACGTGTGAAATAATAATAATAATAATAATAATAATAATAATAATACGATGATTTAGGAAGAAAAGATTATTAATGGGATCCGTTTCTACAGGCAGATTATTTGAAGATCACAACCTTTTCTTTTTCAATGTTAGTTTTTCAGAACAAAAACTCGTTCAGTTATTGTTTAAATGTTCAACTACACACGAGCACCTGAACACAAATCTTGAAGTGAAAAATTCAAGAAAAAAAAAGAAGATATCAATCGTTACAATTCTTTTTGGGGGCGCTGAAAATTTCTCAGCATTTCAATGAAAAATTTTAGGAAGTGAACTTTACAGCTCCCCACGTCATTCCTTTTTTTAAAAAGTTTGTACCGAGTCATAATATTCTTCTCTCCAGCAAAAAGAAATTCGTGTTAATATGGCGACGGTTTGATTTTTCTCCTGCTTTCAAAATATTCGAAATAAAAGAAATTTGACAATGAATATAGAACTGACTCATTCTTTCTTATTTTATTTTCATTCAAATTTCCAAAAGTACATTAACAAAATAAACGAAATTATCCTTAGAAAGAAATAAAAAATTAAAACGGAAATGTAGCCAGCAGACGATTCATGGATGCACAATTTTTCTTTAAGTTTTAACAGTTTCGTATACATTGGTTTTCTAAATAAAATAAAGAAAGCTGTGGGGTTGGTTGCGAAAGTAACTAAAATTGAAAATTTAATTTTATTCAACATTTTTATAAATAAATAAAATGATTCCTTTTAATGATTCAAGAAGAGCTGAAACATTATCATTTATCGCTTGTCATGAGCGGAAAATACATTTTTGGGGTTGTTAAGTTGACATCAGTTCAGTTACGAAGAGAACCAAATTCTGTATGGGTATTTCCTAAACTTATCTCTGTTGATCACAAGACCATAAAATGGCGGAGAACACTCACTGAGAACAGACATCACTAAGGCTGTAATTGCATTCGAGATGAGGTAATTAGCAATTGCTCCACAGCAGGTGCATATTTTCAAAAACGAATTTCTCTGGAGAAAAAAATAAGAATCATATAATACACAAGTAATAATTTTATTCAAATGAAATCCTCTTATAATTGGAAGAGTGAAGGAAGAGTAATATATTTAGCTTCAAACGGAAACCATCTTTCTACTGCTTCAAATTTCTTCTTCCTCCGTGTGGAAATTGTCTAGTTTTCACTGCTATATAGAAGGACAGATATTATATAAGAGTACAGCATTTTATTCATTCTTTCAAATTAAATTTTCCTGTTTCTTTATACTTTGCTTAGTTTTTGAAATGCATCTTTCACTATTCCTATTCGTCTTCGGATTTTTATATATGTTCATTGTAATTTCGAAATAATTCCATAGATATGTCTCCTCAAATATCGATCTTTAAACTCAAAGGCTGAGATAATTTTCAGACTGAAAAAAGAATAAGCGATATCATATGATTTTATGAATTATTTGGGCTTATAATGGTTTTTGTTACATTTTTGTACTCCATTTGCTGCCTTATTTTCTTGTATTTTGTGACATAGGTGTCCATTAAAAAGCCATGCAGACAACAGTAATCTAGTCGTTCGTCTGTTTTTCCATACAAAATCGCCTTTGTCTGCGTGAAGCTATAACGCTCAACACTTGAATAATCAATGGTAGATACATTACCTCAATTATACATGTGAAAATCTAGGAATAGCCGGAACTTTGTGATAAACCTGTAAGGTAGGTGCAAATATAGATGCTTTGAAAACGAACTCAACAATACTTTATCAATTTAAGCCTTACACCGAACACCTATTAGGTCTAAAGCACACCTCTTACTTCAAATGGAACGTGTATATTTGTGCCATCGCCAAAGATCATGGAAGAATGGTTCGTTTCTTGAATCGTTTCAGAAAATACCTAAATCCTACTGCCTTTACAAGAGTCAGCTCAGACCAAGTTAGACAGACCAAGAATAAAATATTGCTGCCATATATGGGCTGTAATTTGTAAAATTAATTTTTCCTAACGATTTTTAAAAATTTTAAGGGAATTTAACAACAACAAAAAAAAAAAATTAAAGACACATTTTCAAAATTATGGCTTTACTCATTATATCCCTGATAGTGTCGTAAATGCAGTTATTAATCACAACATATTAATGTCGAGAAACAAATCAATTCACAGAATAATTTTCTGCTGTAGTTTTTATTTTTATTTAGACAAAAATTATAATTAATAATTAATTATTAATCAATAATCAGAGTCATTTCCTCGCGGATGAAATTAGAGTTTGCCAGAACATCTGTCAAAACATGTCAAAACTGGTACGAGATATTATGGATAATTATCTGGTCAGGATAGTTAATTGTAATTTATCTTTGAATAGCTATTCTCTGAAATAGGGAAGTTTTATCATAATTTAGGAACTGTAAAAAGTCCGTGAGAAAAATATATATATTTTTTTAAATATATAAGTATACGAACCAACTACAATATACTGACAAAACTGTACTCCGCAGAGAATCATTGGGTGATTTACAAGAAACAATAACTGATCTTAATAAAGAAAAAATCACAAGGTAGATTTAAATTTAAAAAATCTGTAAAACGGTCGCAATGATGTAGGATGAAAACCTGGAAGAGGACCAGGAAAACAGCTACCGGGGGAAAATATTAAAATTAAAGAAATTACGCGAATTGCATCAAATGACGCATAACCTTTGGTTGAAGAACATTGGATAAAAATACTGACGTAATGAAAGGCACCTTCACAATATTGTAAAACCATTAAGTCTAAAACCAATGTTTCGCACATATATATATATATATATATATATATATATATATATATATATATATATAGGTGTGTGTGTGTGTGTGTGTGTGTGTGTGTGTGTGTGAGACATAATTAGAATAGCTATTCTAATGAGGTAATTTTGTATTTTCTGTTTTATAATTTATATGCTCTGATATAATAAATACATTGTGTTCTATTTGTGCACCAGTTTTAATATTTTATATTATTAGGATCCACTTGAATTTTATTACCTGTAGTATATATATATATATATATATATATATATATATATATATATATATATAAATTTAAATTAATTTAAAAATATTTTTTTTTCGCTACACAGTTCTAACCATGTTTCAAAAATGGAAGCTGAAAGCTCCGAATTTAATTTTGTAATTAAATTAAAAACATTAATTCCATTTCATCCTCAAGCGAATTTTGGAGTAACTTTTAAAATTACTGGGTTTTAAAGACACTGCAAAAATCATAATTCACGTTTCCAAGGATACAAAGAAATCCAATTCAACCAGACAAGGGGTGTTTGCGTGTTCATTATGTCTGCATTTTGATGTATCAGTTATTAGTTACGTTTTGGTAGCGGTAGGGATGTATTTTTCAATGAAATCTGACATCCGTTAAATGCATGTCGTCTGGATTTTTAAAATTTTTTTATTGTTAACGGCAAAAATTCTTACGGCATTTTTTTCTATTTGTATATTTAAAGATTTTGGGGGGGGTGTTTAGGTTAGAATACGTTTTATTTAACTACGATTTGAAAAATATTTTCAATTTTAATTTTTAATATACTATATTTCTTTTAAGAACAATTAAATGTAATTAGAATCCCTTACAGTATGTAGAATTATTTTCACATCAAGTATAAGTATGTATATTATTAGGTAACAATTTAAAAAAAAAAAATTTTATTTTTTTTAATTATATTTAAATATTATTTAAGTAAAATTTATGACAATGACG